AACACATGCACTGACTAACAGAAGGTTCCATTTGAAGAGTCATGCCAAGCTGTATTTCATTTGCAGCTGTAGTGTAACCCCACTTTGGGTTTGTCTGTGAAATCCCGCTGAGCTTTCTTCAAACGGCACCCAGTTTGGACTGGCCGCCCTCTTCGGACCAAGTGCCAACCATGTCGTGGCATTCTGATGTGTTTGATTGTTCCATGGAGCTAATATTCATTAGTACCGAGGAAAGTATGGTTGGCTTTCACCTCGGTAATTCAAGTTCACCTTTACCTATAAGAAAAAGTGACTTTCCATCATTTTCATTGAAACCACCTGCAGCTAACGAACTCACACACAGACCCTGTCTACTGAACACATGCACTGACTAACAGAAGGTTCCATTTGAAGAGTCATGCCAAGCTGTGTTTCATTTGCAGTTGTAGAAAAGTGTAACCCCTCTTTGGGTTTGTCTGTGAAATCCCGCTGAGCTTTCTTCAAACGGCACCCAGTTTGGACTGGCCGCCGTCTTCAGACCAAGTGCCCACCATGTCCCCATGTAGCCCATGTAACAAAACAAACTAGGGCAGATCCGTGGGCACAGGGAACACGTAGGTGGTCGGAGCCCGAGTTCACCACAGATGGTTTTCATCTACTCACTAACACCAGCCTGGACGTCCTCTGTGAGTGTTGAAGGAGCTTATCACTCGTCTCTTCATATTTGGGGGCTGGGTTTTTACAGCACGATGAGAAAGTGAGTGACCAGACGTCCAAATGCCTACAGGGCCCGACCGCTCCATGTCAGTGATGAGTGACGCCGCGGACTACATATTTATTTGGCTGCAGCTGCGGAGAGAGAGAGAGAGCTTCCCACAGAGCACGTCTCTCTCATCCGAGCTCCTCTCCAGCTGATAGAAGCAGATACTCGGGGACGGACACCGAGGGTCTGCTCCTCAGAGCCCTGAGGTGAAATCATGAGAACAGAGAGATACTGTTGGCTAAAACAACTCAACGGCTACAAGTGGACGACAAGAATAATACCCCGAAGTTCACGCTCAGATTTCTGGGATGATTTGATCAAGCGGAGGTATGCGTACAGAAAACACAGGGCTAAAAGCAACATCAACATGTACCCAGGACACAGAGCAAGCCAAAGATCATCAAGACTGGGATTGTGGGAATGTTTTCAAAGCCTTTACATCTCCAAAATAACTGATTTTCAACCAACCTCAACCACACTGAGGACAGAAAGAAAACAGGTCTTAGTTGGACTCGAACTCCACTGAGGACGGTCACTGCTGGGCTGCAAGGTCCACGACTCCACGCCTCTTCATCTGATGATACTAAAAACCATATCTGTCACCATGTTATATTAATGTCTCCCCTGAGAACATTTCATTTTTTATTTGGTTTTATTTTTTTGTTGTTTTGAAGGAACTGTATGAATTAGTTACTGTTTTAAAAAAGAGATCGAGAAGTTTGATCTACGAAGTCTTTACCGTTGTGACCTTTAAAAGGCAAAAGATTTGTAAAAAAGTCAAAACTCATTATAAATGGATTTTGCCGCAGCCTTTCTTCAGCCACGGCCGCCACACTCACATACAAATGAGGCTGGTGCATCTATTCGTCTATGGACGCGTCATTAAATGTGACGTCTGTATCAATAACAAGAAAAAGTCACAAAATTACAAGCATTTATTCCCCCTAGGGATTACATGGCGATAAGTTTGTCAGAGAAAATTAGAAATCATTTTAGAGAGAAAATCACTAAGGGAAAAACAGGCACACTAGGTGGCAGTAATGCAACACAAGAGGAAGATGAGCTGCTAATAAAGCCTAAGGAAAAAGAACTGAAGTGAGCGGTTTGGCAGGATTAGCTTAGCCTAGCTAATTGGTTCTTAAAACTGTCAATTTATGCTTTCGCATCAGGCACATTTTGGCAATTTTTTATGGGTTATCTTAATATTGTGGTGTCATTTTTTCTTTACCTTTTTGGTACTTTATTGGTAGCTTTAAACAGCCTTTCAGATATTTTTCCAGCTACAGCCTAATTGACTTTCGGCTTATTTGGCTAAGCTCTTTTTGGTGAAGCTGATTTTCCTTTGGTAAACTTTTAAGTACTACTGTCTGACATTTTTTTCTCTGAATCTAAGGTAAATACTAGTGCTTGTCTGATATATGACAGCTTATATGACAACCAGACAAATGATAAACAAAAAAGGTCATTAACGTAACCCACAGACAGAAACGCTCGTTGTGCTCACCTTTTCACGTTTTCCTTTTCACCTTAACTCTGGGTGGTACGAAACCTGAGCCTGTAATTGAAAAATGTGAGTCTGTGATACGGAGCTGGCCGTTCCTCCTGCCTCCGGGGTATTACTCAGTGTTTTCAGCATCATTTGAGAAAGGTAAGAGGGGGCTCTGTGTGGTTAAATCAACAGGGCAAATAAGTCTTTCACCATATAAAACCCCAAATAACACATCAGCCTTGGGTGGTGACAGAACGCTGCGACGCTTATTAGCTGCTCCGAAAGCGCACTGTGGGGGAACAGGAATCTGTTGAGAGTGGTTCTAATAAAAAAAAGAATCAAATTCTCTCGGCTGATCCATTCTTAGTCGTATCTCGGTCGTATCTCGGTCGACAGTACTGTAAATGGGCGCACAGAGGCGCAGCTACAGTTACTCAAATTGGAAGAGTACAAGTAAAGAACATTTTCAAAATAGGATAAATGTATGTACATGAAAAGTGACACGTTAAAGATGTCAACGGGGCCGTGCCTTTCAGCAGGGGGGGCTGAGAGGGTGGAGGGCTGAGAGGGTGGAGGGCTGATGTCTCTATTTGTTTGTGTATATGTGTGTGAGAGAGAGGAGGGGGAGGAGAGGGGGCATGAGGTTTTAAAGAGCATGGGTGAGAGTGCATGTGGGAGACGGTCTGTTTTGTTTTGAGGGAGTTGGTTCTAGGTGTGTGTGTGTGTGTAGGTATGGAGGGGTCAGTCCATCCTGTGTGTGCATGTGTGTGTATGTGAAGGGGAATGGGGGGGTGAAGGCCATAATGTACTTTATATCAATTTTCACGGGGCCTAAATGGAAGGGGACTCAGCTTTTAGGGTTCCACTCTGGCGACACGCCTGTGAGACAAAAAGCAGGGCAGCTGTTCCTCTGATCATCTAGCCAAGAGTCGGAGCTGCAACTGTCTCCGTCCTGCAGTCACTGTACGATGCGAGTCAAGCCATATGGTGAAGGCAGCTCCTAAACATGTTCCCATGGTCTTTCTGAACAGCTGCTGAACACAGTGGACCAGTCCCACACCGTTCATCGTACTCTCGACCACAGGTCTGCTGATGAGAGACGGTGAAAACGTTTTGACACAACGTTTGTACCAGGCTCCGACACTTGGTGATAGTTCTGAGAACTGAAGATAGTTACGACGTTTGATAATGTCGTAACTATCTTTGGCCGACATTTGAACTTTAATAATCTGATTGTGGTAGCATCTGTGCTAACTTTTTTCTACCTTTCTAAACCAACTTTTTGTTATTGTTCACAACATTTTGGCTAATTTTGTTTAGATTTTTATTGAAAAAAATCTAAACAAAGTTGCTCAGATATGTTGCTCAATTAGTAAAATGTTTTTTTTTTTTTTACTCCCAATAAGTTAATATGTTGCTCAATTAGTAAAATGTTTTTGTTTTTTTTACTCCCAATAAGTTAGCGTATTAATTATATTTGGGCAATTTTCTTTAATACTGTGTTATTCCAGAGATTACTTTTTGCGCAAACTGTTACTTATCTTTGGACTAATTTGAAGCTACTTTTTAACCTACTTTTTGAATACTTTGTTGTTTGTGTTTTTTTAGCCTGTTTTGATTTTACTCCAACTTTGATCTTAATCTGGGGCAAATACTAGCTGTCTTCTGACATAAAGTATTCAAATGAATCAGCGCTGCTCAGGATTTTACGTGTTTTGTTTGAGTTTAATATTTTCTGACATATTTCACATTAATATTTATTTTTAGTAACAGTTTCTGTTCCTTTTTATCACATTCTGATGTAATTACATATTATTAAATTTCACCCCCTCTCTCTCACACACTCCCACTCTCTCGCTCTCCATATACACTATATATCTCTCTGTCACACAAACTATACAAAAGGGTGCATAAACACACGCCGCTTCTCATGGATCGGAAGGAATCTGCGCCTCCATCCTCCACTAATCTCACCCAGATCAGCCACCTTTCCTCCCCCTCTGACTCCGACTCACTCTGAAGAGTGAAGTCACTCCAAACTAAGTGCAAGAAAATCCATTCTTTGAGTCACTCCCTTTGAGTCAGACATCATTCATCAACAGCTGCATCTTTATCAGACGCAGCATTAGCACTGCTCCCTGTGGTGAACAACTTCCCAAAAACTTGTGGTTTTAAAGACAGGGACCAAGGCGGAGAACCCCCCCCGTCCCCCCCCCCCCCACTCCCCCACAAGACAGTGATTTCATTACAAAACTTGCGACTCATAATGAGGTCCATCTTGAACAACAATAATAAAATAACAATTCAGTGCAATCTCGTCACTTTCCGAAAAAAACTTGAGAAAATATTTCAAATGCGTCACCCATTAAGGGACATGCCCCCTACTTTGGTAACCACTAGGTTTTTTAAAAACAATTTAAAGTTCTATTTCTCACAAACAACTGAAATAGAATCCATGAAAGTGGATTAAAGATTGACAGTGGAACAACAATGAAAACCGATTCTACTAAAGTTTCCTCTAGAAAAGTTGAAAATTCTCCAAGTGTGGGTGAGAAATCCATCCAGCATCAGTTCACAAACCCCTCAGCTCCGCATGAATAAAACTTCAACTGCAGTAAAGCCAACGGCTGCAGCAGCTAATCAATCACTTCACCTCGGGTCAGTGCAAACACTCGACCTCCAGTTTGATTTCCAAAAGTTTTTAGTTGTTTTTTTTTTTTGTTTTTTTTTTTTTTTTTTGCGCTGCAACTTCGACCAGAGTCTGCTCACCTGAGGCGCAGACTAGTCCAATCCACGTCCGGTAGAAAAACGCCAGATCTGTCTTCATCTCCACGTCTCCGGTCCAGCCGTGCAGAAAGGGTTCGTGACTTTGTTAATAATAAAAATTAAAAAAATAAATGATGATGACAGTGTCAGTGATCACGGGAGAAGAGCGCGTCAGCTGGAAGTCCAGTCCGCAGATGGGAAACAAACTCAGGTGAATCCCAGTCACTCGCTGCCCATCTGTCTGCCTGACTGTGTGTTGGTCAGTGCTCTCTTCACACACACTCACTCACACACACACACACACGGACCGCACACACAGTCACACTCGCACAGGCAGGACGGAGTAGAAAAACTAAGGAAAAGGGAGTAAGAAAAAAAACCGCTTTTCCCGTTTTGGGAAAAGGATGCACTGAATGGGATTTACAATGATTTCCTTTTCCTGTGCTCGTGACTGCAGCGTGCACACCCGTCCATCCACTTCATAAAACCAGCTGAGTGTGTGTGCGCGTGTGTTTGTGTGTTCAACTGGTGTTGTGATACTTGTGAGGACTTTCTCTCTCTTTTTTGCAAAAGTTCTCAACCTGATATTCAACCTGTGGCTCGCGATTCCAATGTGGTCGCTTTTAGAGTTAGTGGTGGCTCTTTTAAGTTGCAAAAAAAAATTCAAAAAAAAAAGCCAAACAAAACTACCCTGACCAAAACCTGCCATATTTCCTGCGGTGATTTATTCAAATTTTTCCACTAAATGGGACTGTGATGAACAGCAGTAACACAGTTTCCTGTCGAAGTCATTCCAAAACCAGGCATTAAAAACTATTAGCTCTTAATAAAAAATAAAGACAAATGTTCTCACTTTTATTGTGTCATGCATCATTTTTTTTTAATTACAACAAAAGAAACAGAAGGCTACAGGGAAATTACAGGAATTTTATATTTAATTAATAATTTTATTTATCTACTAAAGCCCGTAGCTAAAGTTGTTTCCTATTAATTGGACACAGAAAAGTTTGTTCTTGGCAGCATCATTTTCTTCCAGGCGTCCAGTCGGCTGAGTGCTCTCGCCTCGGGTGTCGGCCTCTGAGAGTCATTGAGAATCATCGCAGCTTTGTCCGAGTGCTGTTCGCCCCCTGTGGGTGCACATCAATCGTCTTTAGGGAGCCCTCGCCGTGTGACTGAAAATCCTGTACTAAGAGCACAACACGCGCCCCACACTGAGCCGCTGTCAACCATGCATTATTTTCCAGAGAGGGATTTAGAAAATTGAAAACTCATGTACCGTGCACATAAAAATGAAAAGAGGATACAGGGAGCGGACACTTGGTGATCGCTCACAGACTCTCGCCGACATACAAAGTCAGTTAGCATGACCGAATGGGACCAGCGGGTTTTAGTGTGGGCTAAATACTTTGGGCCACATGTGGTTACAAATGGCCTTTTATACCAATATAGCCAGGTCACGTTGCATCCACACTGGTTTATTGTTTCATTTATTAAATATACATCGCAGAGATGATCAACCTGTGGCTCCTGATCCACACGTTGGCTCCATCTGGAACAAACCTGGACGAATTACAGCCCGTGGGTCAGATACAGCCCACTGGGCTTCTTAATCCAGCCCACGACCCATGTATTCTAACTTATTTGAATGTTTTGATACAAGTGTAAATGTTTTACTGAAATGTTCAACTCATTTCTAACTAAACAACATCATGTTGTTGTTCTAAAACATCGTACGCTGAACAATCGACTTTTGCACATATAAAAGTCTGGGTGAAGTTTATTTAGTGATAAAATAATGAAAGTATCTGCCCCCGGTGTTGAAGTTTGCAGACCTCTGGTGCAGTACAAATAAAGGTGGAGCGTGCACTAACATGTGTGTCCAGTCCTACGTCAGCCTCATCACTCACACCTGCCCCTCTAACAATCAGCCTCATCAGTCACACCTATGGTTCCCTGTGTCTCTCCCTCACTGTGGTCTTTAGTTGACCAGTCAATGTGTCATGATTTAACTGTGGGGTTTTTTGTTTGCTTGTTTTCCGGTTTCCTTGAATAATGTGTTTGGATTCTGGTGTGAATGATTATTATTTGATTAAGGATTAAATTCAGCCTTAGTTTTCTGTTACTGTGTTACTTTTTTTTCCCCTCATTTCTTTCTTCATTCATCTTAGCCCCGTTTCAGGGTCAGCTAATCCCAGCAGGTTTGGGGTGATGATGGGTTTACACTATGGACAGAGCGGTACTCCCCACTTTGGGAAAGCCCACTATACTTTGAGGCTAAGACACTACAACTGTGTTTGCAGCACCTCCTGCAGGGGAAAGACAGGGTTAATGTCAGCTTTTCCTGGTCCTACGATCAGACCAGGAACGTAACCACAGGAGAACCCACGTTTCCATTCAGGCCAGTGTAATTACTTGCAGACAGCCCTGCTTTTCCAGCACTGAAATCAATCAATAGCCTACTGTATCTCCACATGGAAAGCCATTAGAACAGTAATAGCACCGGCCGGCTGTGGACTGTGGACTGTGGACTGTGGACTGTGGACCTCTAACTGGTTCCTCAAAGGTGCTGAGAGCCCGTCAAACTGTGGCAGTCAAAAAGACACATGAGACAAAGTATTTTCCTCATTTGTAATTATGATGTTCTTCTCAGTAACGTCAGCAGTTTGGTGAAACAACGACATCCATTCTGTGTTATTGTGGAAATATCCGTCCCGCCCCGGGGTCTCTCATGGCTAAGCAGCTCTCTGAGTCTAAACCGCAGTGCTGTCATTGGACTGGTACTTTAGAAGTAAAACGATCCTCTGGTCTCAGCCCTGCAGTATCTTTGGTATCCAGAGGAAATAAACACACGGAATGGTGTGGATACTTTAGTCACGAGTTATTAAATGTCATTATGAATATGGGCCGGGACTTTACTGCAGTAATTCTGACTCCTTAATTACAGACAAAATACTGCATTCACATTTACTGCAAAGATGATATATTTAATAGTTCTATTTTCAATCCCCTAATGCACTGCACTACACTGATGCACAAACTCCAGCCTGTAGGTGTCAGTAATGCACCCAAAATACATTAGCCACCAGCAAAGAAGATACACAGGACGCAATTAGTGGCATTGGTGGTACAACAGTGGTACAACTGTCCTAATAAGGACACCCGAGCTAACGTTAGCTACAACAGTCGTGGCCCAGACAGCACAGCTAGCGTTAGCTACAACAATAATTTAATATTTCCATTTGATTAAAAAAGGTAATAGTTCATGATCAATTAATTAGTGTAACTTTTTAAAGTAGCATCCCACCACTACTGCCAAGGGTAGAACATCACAGCAGGACCTGGGAAATAATAATAATAACAACAACAATATGCACATAATGACATGCAGACAATAGTGTATTAAAAAGAAAACAATTGCCCTCTCATGCGTGATGGCCCCAGAGGTCAGATAAAAAGCCTTGAGTTTTTAATCCTGCTGGCTCCTGACAGACGACTGGAGACTCAAGGACCCGTCCTTGAAGTGCCAGCACTCTATCCGGCCCATCCTTGGGTCAGGAAACACATTACAGATCAACTGGTGCTATCGTAGGAAGGATGTGTAGCACACTTGTAGCCCGCTCACTCTTTTACCCATGGGCCATTGCAGTACAAGGCACCGTGGCAAAGTGGTTTTCGCTGTTGGGGGAGGGGTCTGTGGATTTGTTTTGACTGTACCGGCCAGAACTTGTCAGATGTAGGTCATGTTTGTTGCCTGACAAGAAGAGGAATCCACACAGCAGCAGCAGCAGTGTGTAAATAATTCACCAAATAATTAGCTGAGAAGCTAATGGACTGTTTTCTTCGTGTATTGTGAGCTGAGGTAAAAACACTACGATCCAACATGGCCGCCTCGAGGAGGAAGACGTTCCTGAATGTTTCCTTCAAGGAGGGATAAAAACAAATTGTACTACGTGAACGTTATTTTTTTGCTGTTAAAATATCGCTGTAGTCTCTGTCTCGTAGCAGAGTGGCGCAGTGGAAGCGTGCTGGGCCCATAACCCAGAGGTCGACGGATCGAAACCGTTCTCTGCTATTTACCTGACTTTTACCATCTGAGTTCAACACCACCTTCTTCACACAGGATGATTGTATTTTCCGTGAATTCCCACTGTGTGGCAGATAAAGGACTTATTGTATTATAAACATTTATTACAAATCCCACTGTGTACATTCAAGGTTTTTCACCCGGCTCCTCCTTGGTATTTGTGTAACACTGTCATCGTCAACGTGCTCTGGAGAACCTCACCATCCAACCTTGGAAATATGAATGTATTCTCGTTCTTTAATTTTTAATGTCTTTTTTATTGTATAGCTTCCTTGGGTATTTTAAAATGTGTTTGTTTGAATACTGTAAGTGTAAACTTCGAAAACAAATCATATAAAAAATGTGTGTTTTCTTTCTTTTTTTAATCAGTGCATTCGCTGTGGACAAAAATGCATTTTAGTCGTTTAAGATTTTAGATTAGTGCCTAAGACCTCGAGAAAAAAACTAATGAAAAGAATTAATTATCTGAAAATCACCTAATTAATACCATTCATATTTAAGTACTTCAAGTATTAAATAACAGAGGTCACAAAAAAATTAAAACTGTTATTGCTACACCATGTATAGCAGTGATAGATTGATAAAAAAAACATCAAATATTAATGTGATTTTTTTTTCATTTTGTGTCCGGCCCTCTGCCCCCTGTCCAGAAGAATCCTGCCCTTCTGACAAGTTGGTGACCACTGCAATAGCCTTGAAAGTTTTGGAAATTGCCAAACAATTTTTTTTCACTGAAGCACGTGCCTCACTCTGTGTTGACCTTGAATTGTTTGTAGTAAGCATTTATGAGTGGAAGTGAGTGACCAGTGTGCAATAAAGGCTGCACCCATGCCCAGGTCGCCCCCCGCACAGGAAAAGCCCGGTCCGGCTCCCCCTACAGTGCAGTTGCAGTCAGCAGAGGAGGCAACAGCATCCGGCTTGACTGTGCCCCTGAGGCTCATCCAGCAGCTCAGAGCCATCGCCCGTGTCACCCTGTTTACGTGACCTTTCACCTGACAGCAGGAAACAGGACGCGTGCTGTAGTGTGTTTGTGGAGATAACCTCGGAGCGCGCCCATTTTCACTGTTCTACTGTCAGAACTCGTTCAAGTGTTCAAAAGTTCTAGTCCAGGTGCGGCTCAGTCGCCACGCCTCCGCTGTCACTCATCCTCAACGAGAGCAGCGTTCCCAGTGCTTTGATGTTTGCTTAATAACATCCTTGATTATTTCAAGTGAGGTCAGTGGAGTAAGAGTGCGGTGTCACAGCTGCTGAGAAGAATCAAAGACGAATGGTTTTTTTTACAAGATGTGATTGGTTTATTTTGTTAGCCTCAGCATTTCAGTTGCTGTTTCTGTTGACATTAAAAACACTTGACAGTTGATGTTTCTGTGCAGAACCATTTAACCGTCACGTGCACTTCCTGGTGAAGTTCAGACACTGATGAGAGATTTACAGTTAAAATGATAGCAGACAGTATAGTGAAGTTACATCGGTGTAAATACAAGGAAAGCTCATTAGTCGTTAGTGTTAGGTTACATCCATTAATTAATGACATTCAGTCCCACTGAAGAACATGTGATTACAATGTTTTATAATGCTCACAACTATTAGGCAGCAATCAATGAAATAAGGCGTTTTATTTTGTTGAATGTAAAAGTAAAGCAGGTCCATTAACCACAAAAAAAAAATTTCAGAAAAGCAGTAGACTGAGCCCCGCTTAAGGTGCCCTGCCCCCCACTTTGAGAACCACTGGTTAAGTTACTCAGGGAGACAGAGGTGAAGGAATGTGCAAATGCTAGATTTGTAATAATTTCTCCAGTAACAAGTGAGCTAAGCTATTATCACGTTGTGATACTGAAAATAACAATTTCAGGATCTTCATAAAGCGACACTGACTGTTAACCAGACAGGGCGACGGGTGGGTAGTGGAGGAGTTTGATGGGCTGTGGTTCCTGACTGTTGCCACTGATGCACGGGCTGAAGAAGGGGAACACCTTTCCCCGGGGCCCGTTGGCAAAGGAGTAGAGCAGACTCATGTCGTCAGCGTCGTAGAAGGACACCCTCCTGTCCTCGCAGTCCAAGAACACTCCGATCCTCTCTGGGCACGAGCCGAGCTGCAGCCTGGTGCAGGGCTGGGTGCAGACGGAGTACTCGTTCCGGTTGCGGAGCCGCAGAGCCCAGAAGCCCGTCTCTGGGCTCAGCTTGATCCTGGCGTGCCTGTCTATGGACTCTGAGGCCACGCCCAAATCCCATTTGGGTTTGGAGCCCACATCCACCTCCCAGTAGTGCCGCCCAGAGTGGAAGCCCTGCGTAGCCAGAATGTTGACGCACTGGAGGAAGCGCTTGTCGTTGTCCACGTGCCTCGTCATGGTGTCGCATTCCACAGCCACCGTTTTATCACTGGAGACTTTGATGCTTGGATGCGCCGTGTCCACATCAAATGATAGTGGGGAAGGACCTTGAGGACGACACGAGTCATTGGACAATAACAGACACTGTATGTCAACAGTGGAAGAATGTCTGCATATAATCTGATAATCACAGAATAGCTGTTGATAACTGTGAGTTAATCGTGATTAATCGTGATTAATGATCAATTTGTCTTCTGGAACAGAAGGACATATAAGAGCATGTAGATGTTGTTTCCTATTTGTTACCTGGTTTCAGAGACTGGAACATCTTTCTCCACGTGATGTACTGTAAAGGTGCCATGTATTTGCTGCTGAAAGCATTTGCATCAAACTCGGGGGCAGCATTCACCGTGGCACACGGCCTGTAGGGGAAAGGAGGAGAAAAATCAGGGCACAAGTCGAAGTAAAAATTGCACAACTGCATGTGTAAAACGCCAAAAGAGATTAAGCCAAATGAGCACGTACCTGAGCTGAGGGAGCTGCAAAAGAAAATGAAGAAAAACTCATTAAAAACTTGTTCAAACTGATTCAAGTCCAGATATGACATGCAAACTTTTTTTTTCTTCTAAACTTTTATCTAGAATTCACCTCTGCCAACACCATGCTCTCGGTGACGGCGCTCGCCTGCTGCAGCACTGTCACGTTCTCTCCCAGCTCCTTTATGGCCAGTTTGAGGGCCTCCAGGTGGCGCTGGACCTTCTCCAGCTCCTCCTCCTGCTCCCTCCTCAGTTGTTCCAGTATGCACGTCTCCTCGTCGTGCAGTATCTGATGGAGGGCTCTGAACTCACCTTTGACCCGAGCCTGTAGATCTGCTCCAAGTCTCTGAGGGGGAGAAATGATTGAGCTGCAGTAAAAGACAGCGGTGCTGTAAAAAGCAGGATTAAAAACTCCAAATCCTCTTGCTCAAGTCGCACGCACACACACACACACAACACACAATCCACTTAGTTCAAATGGATCGTGGAGGGTCCAACACATTAAGGGGTCGTAACAACAAATACAACTGAATAACAGGGAGTGCAGAGGGACTGTGCCGTAAACAACATTAAACGTTAGAGCGTTTTTCATATATGTTTGACTCTGAACAGTCGCTGGCACAGTGTATAATTTCAGGTCATTATAAAGCTTTTTATTGCACTAATAACCTACACTGAGCAGGAGAAGGAGTGTGAGTGGAGGGTGAGGGGTTATTTGAGAGTGACCCACTGACCACTCCCACTCAAGAGCCCACTTAGAAGGAGAAACAAACACTGAGCAGCGGCGCCACACTTAACATTAAACAACACCGACACCGACATGTGTAGTAAGACGGAGCGACACTTTCTCTAAATGTAAACATAATTATGTGAAAAAAGAAAACATTATACAAGAATAATATTGTCCAGGAGTGATAGACTTCCTCCACTGACATTAAACTTAGACAAAGGCCAAGACAGGCACGATGCACTCAGGCGTGAGACCATAATGTCCTGCATATCAGAGCAGGCACCGTCACTTACCGCATTTGCAAACACTACTCAATATGCCCGCTGACATACTGCAAACATTCATTAGAGGGCCCTGTGCATCCTTATCTGTTAAGTGGCACCGTCCTTTCCCCGAAAGCAGGATACCTTTATTGTTTCCATCGTGTCTTTTCCTCTGCGAATACTACTGACGTGCTCCTCGGTCCTCAGGCGCTGGTTGTCCAAAGACTCTCTCAGCTGTTTCTGCAGAACAGGGTTTGTGTTTGGAGGGTTTCAGACAATTAACTTAAAAACCAAAACAAATCTGTATATATTTGTTATTTCTCTACATGTTCTTCATCACAGAATATGCAGAGAATCTCTGAGGTCACAGGCCGTTTCTGTGGTACTTAAATCCAGTTCCTTTTAAATTTAAATACATAGTTTTGTGACAATGAGTCGGCAACAAAGCCACCTTTTCATTACATCCACTGGAGGCAACAGCGAGTGTGCAACCAGGAAAACGTCTCAAACATATTCGCCCTAAAATCAATTTTAACTTTTGTTTTGGCCTTTTTTTTATCATCGTGTTAATTATTGAACCGTCAAGATCCGGATTTTATCACCTTTGGACTTTGTGCAAAGGTCCTCAGCTGAGGCCTGTTATCAGATAGTTATGACAGTGCTACAAGTATTTTACTGTTTAACGCTGCAGATTTGCTAACAATATTTTCAGTGACATTAACCTCTCTTTAAAAATAAAATAAAAAAATGATAAGATGATTTATTTCAATGTACAATACTGTGGTTGATTGAATAACAAATATGACATGAGTCAGTATTTGTTACAAGGCTTCACAAAAGCACCTGCTGTTTAATTTCCATCCCACATACAGTAACTACACACAGAAAACGTGAATTATATTACAGCAAGAAAAACCTTGGCATATAATTAAATCTAAAAACACAAACAGACCAGGTCATGAATAAATTATGAACAGCGAATCCCTGTGGGAGAGAAGGGAGTGAACTCACCTCAAGGTTTTTGATGTAAGTATGTGAGGAGGTGGCCCTGACCTTCTCCACCATAGCTGCCACCAGGAAATTGGTTTGAAACTGCCTGCAGCTGAACTCCCTGCGACACTGTGGGCAGGTCACTGGCCCGTGTGTTGTTCTCCAGTACCTGGAGATGCAGGGTTTACAGAAGTGATGCATGCAGGCCAACATGACCGGCTCGTGGAACAAGTCACAGCAAATGGCACACGTCAGATCCTCCCTCAGGCTGCCTTTGGTGGCTGGAGGAGCAGAGGCTGCAGAAGCCATGGTGTTGGATCCTTTACACTGGAGTCGCTCTGAAAAAAAAAACCCAGGATGCAATGGTGTTATCAATATTTAAAATGTAATAAAACTGTAATTCACAAATGTGTTTTCATGTGTCATATTGCAGGCAACATTTGTGAACACCCAGCTGTGAGCTATCGCTGTATATTTTATACGTTATATTTTTATTTTAAATCACTTCACAGTGTTAACTCAAACTAGAATGACCAACGGAAACTTGGTTTAAACCCTTATTTTACATACAAATATTTTAATTCCCCTGCAATGACACTAGAGCGTGTTGAAATTTCATAAACATTAGCACACATTTACCGGCAAAAAATGCAACTGTCTTTTGTCCCCTTGTGCGTCATTTACCAAATACTTCCCAGAGTTGGGAGAGCCACGCCAGCAAAGATAAAGATGAAAAGCAGAACAAAGCTTGACACTGAAAATGAACTATGTGACTTGTAGCTCAAAATCAGATATGAATCACAAAGCCGCAGATCCACAGCCGTCACTGAGGTGTAGGTCAGGGGTCAAGCTTACATTTTCTTTCTCCCAGATCTGATGATGTTTTACAGCGATTGTTGTGTCACTGAGGTGTAGGTCAGGGGTCAAGATGTTTTACAGGCATTTTTGTGATGATTACTTCATATTCAATCTTTTTTTTAATCTAGGATTGGGACATTGCATTGACGTTTATGTTTTGTTTTGGGTTTTTTTTAATAGCACTTTGTAGAAATTAGTGTGTAATATGAAGAGTTGTGAAGTTACAAACATGTTGCCAACATTTTTAATTTTAATTGGCAAATATATCCACACAAATGGGAAAACCAAATAACTGATCAGTCATTTCAACCTGAGAACGACGATAAGGTACAGGAGTGAAAACATAACCAGAATGCATTCCTTTCTTCCTGGTAAGGGTTAATCGAGAGTTACTTAGCAGAATAATATTATCATAACAACATGTTAAGTCTCGTACGGTGGCCTTGTTTGTACACAGTGGACAGTTGTAATGTCAACATTCAGGTGCAAGTCATAAAAGAAAACAACTCAAAGTTCATGTGTATCAGCAACGACTTCCTGCCTGCTTTCATGTGAGACTCCACCGAGGTTTGTCCCCTCCTCACTCTCTCCTCAACACCGACCTTATGTGTTAAAATAACAGAACAGAATTCAGTCCAAATCTAAGAAGGCGGATGATCTAACTCCATTAGCTGCCTTGTAATGTGTGTTATGAAAAGCAACGTATTATGTTTTTGTATGTGTGTGTGGGTGTGTGTCCAGTTGTTTCGTTTGACGTAGCTTCGAAAAAATGCGAAAAAAAACAAAGCATATTAATTACACATTAATTAATGTTAAAAAATAAATACTTAAACGAACCTTACATCTATCAGCTGTCCAGTAAAAGCTCTCCTCAGCTGTTGATGCTTTTCTTCTTCAGCTAATGTTTGAAAGTACAAGACGTCCAGATGTACTGCGCATGCGTGGATAACAACAGCGCCTCTGATTGGTTCATGTATCTGACTGTAAACAACACCATATGATTTGTGAGAATCCGAAACCTAAATGATTCGTGCTACGTCGGCATTAATGAATCTTTGGTTTAGACCGTTTTGCTCTCGACATTTTTGAATGTTGAATTTTTTAATCTATCCCAGCAGCTTCTATACTTTGTTTGAAACAACAACATAAAGTAGTTTGTAGTTGAGCTAATCACGTATTTTCTTTTTTCCTTCCTTGAGATAAAAGTCATGCAAATACTGCTCAGAAATGTCCTTTGTCGCACATTGTAATATCTAAATGATTGTATTACACTGTACATAAGCAGTAACTTTTTTAACAGGTTAAAAGAATGCTTCAGGTCGTCTGCATCTTTGTTTGGTAGGAGTTAGGAACAAAACTGAATCTGTACCAAGACACCAGTGACGGTGTCTGGACAAATTTGGATTAGGATTTCAGAAAAGCAGTCACTAGGGTCCTGGCCAAGAATTTGCCACTGAGGCCAGGCACAAGGACACAAAGTAGAATGTTCAGAAATGTAGTCACTAATGGAACTAATGACCCTCACCTCCCCTCCACCCATCCCACCCCTTCCCTTTCATCTTAGTTTCTGTATTTTTTCTAATGATTCTCCCTAACACAGCTCTAAGCACTCAGAAGAGTCAGAAAGTCATTAACCACCGTCCACCCAATCCAATGTATTCCATTAAAGATTTCCAAACAATTGTCAGCCTGGACACTTTCATAGAAAGTTGCACAGATTCTTTAAGACAGAAGCTGTTTACGTAGCCTGTGTAGTGGTTTCTGTAAATAGCAACAAAAGAAATGCACACCAGGAGGTATAATTGGACCATCCAATGTTAATACTTGCCCCAGGGATCCAATTTGCAGACACCAAAGCTGTTGATTATTTAACACCGTCATCTATGTGACACGTCTGCCTTTGCTCTCCACGTTTGCATCCTTTGAAAGAAAAAAAAAGCACGAGATGACAACATGAAAAAACATAAATACACATTAGAGTTCTCCCTTTCTTTTACTGATGCTTGTATAGAGCCCCCCCCCCAAAGGCCAGGCCCAACAGCCCCCGTGTCAGGTCTTTGTGACATGAGGACACCAACATCCTCTAATCACGTCATTAGATCAGGGAGAACCAGCGTTCTCAGAGGACCTGGAGAGACACGGTGATTAGATTGCACTGGACGTCCAATCTCAGGCCATATGAGTGTGTGTGTGTGTGGGGGGGGGGGTTGGGGGGTCCTTAGTGACCTTGTTTAAACAAATATATGTGCACTCACTGAGGAGAACAAAGATTTTCCGGGGAGACAAATGAATGGCCGTGTAATAGTAGTACTATTAGATTTGTCCAGTACCATGACAGGACTATTTCTACTCTTTTACAACAATGTTTCCTGTTCTGTCACGCGCTGGAGGAGTGGTTGGTGCTTTGCCTTACAGCCAGGAAATGAGGCGTTTAATTCCAGGTGATAAGTAGTAGACTTTTTGGTTGGAGTTTCCAAAACCACTGATAAGATACCAGAGGGACTGTCTTTATATGGAGAGTCAGGAATAAACCCAGTGGCAGAGGTTGTATTTGATGCCAGTTCCCTGTAAGATGGCCCCCAGCTGGTCACAGGTGTGGATGTGTTTTGACTAAACTGTTAGAAACAGACTTCAGGTGGGTGGAATGAGGGCTTGACGTAGTGGGACCGATGCTTAAAGCCCCACAGCAATGCAGCTCAACTAGCTAGATCAAATTAGAATTGGCAGGTCTGCTATTGAAACCATTGAAACTCTCACAGGAGAGAGCAGGTTTCACACCGAGCCGTCTGGAGGTGAAGATACTGGATATCTGGAGGTTTGGAGTAAAAATACAGCTGTTGATTATTTTTGTAACTGCATGATAAATACTTTTTTATTTAATAATTTTGTACTACTAATAATAATTTGCTTCTATTACAATTATTTCTTTTGAATAACAAAAAAGGAAAAAATAAAAGACAAAAATACTAATTACTAATAAAAATAACAATAACAGCACGTTGAAAATAAATGTAAAATATGTATAGATGTAAAGATATAACAAGAATAACAACAGTATGAACTAATACATTATAAAATATCTGTAGATATATACGAATTTATATATGAATAACAAACAACAATATCTGTAGATATATACGAATTTATACTGTATATGAATAACAAACAATTATAACAAAGTTATATGTGGAAATATTTTCTTCTTCGCGCGTGAAACAGCGGTGGAACCAACGTTTCTTTCTTTTTTTTTTTTTTTAGCAAAATAACAATCAATTAATCGTCACAGCTCTAGTTCGGAGTGTCACAGTGAACTGCTGTTACCTCTGCTGCTAGAGTTGAACCACAGTTGAGGTTTTAATCACGTGAGCAAACCTTCTTCTCCCGACCCGGATCAACCTGAGCCCCCTGTGGGACACGATGTGTCCACACATCCAGTGTTTACTAACAGCAGCAGCATTGACTGTCAAAAAGCTCAGTCTTAATCCAGGTCTGAGAGGAAGTTATTCAGGATGTTTGTCATCTCATTAGCAGCAGCCTGAGATATTGCTGAGCTGCCTACAGGTATCTGGAGTACCTCACTAATAACCACTCACTAATGAGTACAATAATGAGTTGCCTTAATTAAATCCACAAACACACAGATAGTAATAAAAATAATGTGTTTTTTTAAACACCTCATTTGCTGAAAAGGTAATTTCCTTTTTGAAAATTAAAAATATTTGGACTTTTCTTTATCAGACAAAATAAAGTGCTTATTAACCTTAACGTAGAGAAATGGCGACCTTTTGCAACACGGAGGCATTTTCAGAAAGAAAAATATGTTGTGCGAATTTGTTAAGACAAAGGCCTGGTTGGAAAATATAAATCGATTTCAAGAGGAAAGAACGGCATGGATTAGAATCACAATAACAGGCTGTGGGACGATGGTACTTTCACATGGATGCAGATTTACCAGGTTGCGTCAGCGTTACATCATTCCATTGTTAATTCAGTGACGTCCATGTGTCGAGATTCAGATCAGTTTAAATGTTTTTCTCACCATGTTTGGTCTCAACTCTAGAGAAGCACACATTTTTTGGAGCCCGTTCCATTTTCTGATTTTCATAAGATGCTAACTTAGCATCTTTCTTTATAGGTTCTTTATTCGAGGCATGATGTGCCTTGAATAAAGAACCATCTGGAACAACGTTGCCCTGTTGTTCCACACCTTCAAACTGGACATGATCAGTTGGATGATGGTGCTTTAGGTGTCCGATATATTACAAATAGCAAGCCTGGAGCTTCCTCTCCTTTTCTGTGACTGAAAATCGATCATTTCATATCAAGTTAGCTCTGAAGAAATGAGCGGCATTTCTTACCACCGGCCGTAGGTGCTGCCAAAAGTTTGAACCGGTGACCTCCCTGCTGTCAGGCAAACCCTAAACACCTCCCCCTCATGCGACCCATATGAATATTTCTGCTGAGTAATAATGAAGTGCGAGCCCCCAGGCTTGATGAGTTGCGAATGACCGGTTCGGAAAGAACCTGTTGCAGAATGGCATAGTTGAGACCCTGACAGAAATCCTTTAGCTGTGATGAATGTAAAATCAGGCAGAAGTGCTGGGTGGCCAGGCCTGTGAGGAGGTGCGACCCACATAATTGAAAGAATAAATTGAGGTGGAGAGGCAAATTGACCTAATCAATAAGTTAGTGATCTCTGCTGCGGTTACTGCTGCAGTCAGTTATAGCAATAACAGGTCCCAATAAGAGCATTCAAGGCGATTTCCCACTGCGGCGCCTTGAACTATAAATCTGAGTCAAGACTCTGAAGAGCAACTGTTATCGACTGCAGAGAAATGCAGAAAGAAATCCTGAGAGAAACACCAACTACAATTATCAGATCAGCTAAACGTTCTTTAACATGCGGGGAATGGTGTTCGACAATTGTAAACCTCTTTTATCTTCGTCCAATTTGTGAGTTTCCTGTGCTTTCCCATTGATTGTCCCCACAGCAGGTGCTCACATGAGATAAGTGGAATTTTTTTCAAACAGGGGGTGTGGGGGGGGGGGGCTGCATGGGTGTACCTGTGTGTTGTCATTGCTTATTGCAAATATTTTTTCTTTGTTTTTCAATGCATGACAGGCGCAGCAATTAAATACTCGTCCACTAGGTAGCAACAAAGGGCTATGAAAACTAAAAACAAAAAAGGAATCAGAGCTGTTGAAGAAGATCTTTGTGAGTGTCTTTCTTCAATTCCTGCGAGTATATCGGTGTTGTCTTCAACTAAACAGGCGGAGATCTTAATAAATTGTGAGTATATTTAAAATAGAAGGTTATTATATTTAATTGCATTGCTTTTTATCAGATTTTTGTTTGGTGGTGTTCCTAATGAAAAATATGTGCCGCAGCACGAAAGCAGTTGAGAGACATTGATTTAAGGAACTCTTGTAGAAAGTTGAGGTATTACACTTTACTCGACCTTCACTCGAGGAAGTTTAAAATTCACAGATCTATCAGCTTTACTCATAAAAAAAAAAAGAAACGACAGAGAGATCTGCTCACTGCTGTGTTTTCACATAATGTCCCGAGCCGCACTCATTTATTTTCCCATAACCTCATGCATTTAGAGAATAAGAATTAAACACATTCATGTCACCCA